CATAGCCATGTAGGTGAACTAGACATCATCAGAGGCTCATCTTGCTAAAAGCACACATGGAGGATGGAGAGTCCTCTTGAGATGGCTGAAAGCTGAGCTCAGAGCCCTTTAATGAGCACCAATGTTAGTGTCATTTAACACAGGACACTTATTATGGAGTTCACATGTACAGGAGATATTTCTTCTTTGGATGAAATATTTCTAATCAGCCAGCCAATGTAAAGTCCCTGGGGTCCTTTATTTAAGCTATTTCAGGATCTAAAGTGGCATTTAACACATGGCTTATGTGATACCTTGTCCCAGAAAATCCTGAGCAGCTCTGAAAATATCAGGTAGAATGCCTCTCTAATATCAGGTAGAATCCAAAACAGAGAGAGAGACATTTATTACAATCAATTTGTTCCATTTAAAATCTAAAATGTTCCACCACCAAAACTAATTGGACCTTTATCCTTCTGAGACACCAAGCCAATTATATGTAAGTAAGAAGGGTGAACTAGACATCAAGGTGATATAACATGTACATTAGAAGCCAGAGTGTGGCACCACCTTCCCTCGATTATGTGTGTGTGGGTGGGGGAGATTCAAGAATGATTTTTGGCACATTACTGGGACTTCATGAGGCTTTGCTGGAACATTGCTGAATTTTTCCTCCTAAAACCATTTTCACCAGATGTTCTCTCTGGTTGGCTTTATTTGTTATCTTGGAGCACTGCTGGAACAATGATTTGGGGACAAACACTCATACAGAAGTGTTTGACATACACATGCCAAGTTGAACTTTGCATTTACAGTATAAATTTAATTCACATTTAAATGTCATGTAACACCATCTGAGAGAGAACAAGGAGACACAGGTGGTAGGTGAAGGCACCATCACAATTTGTTTCTGGGCTTTTTCAGAGGTGATCCTTCTCTTCTCTTCTCTTCTCTTCTCTTCTCTTCTCTTCTCTTCTCTTGTCCTTGTTTAGAGGGACAAAATATTTTCCTCACGTGGGAGTTTCTGTAGTCTTGTGTTCAAGTTCAGTGTTTTAAAGTTCTGATTTTAACTTATAATCTTCTCTTTGTTCAAATTTAAATTCATTTCTTTCATGGTCTTAATTTTGGTCATGGTTCACTTAAGACATTAGGGATTCTGCCCAAAAAGTGAGATAGGACAAAAACAACCCCCTCACTCCATGTATTCTCAATAAGACTTTGGTGTACATTGCATCCAATATCCTTGTCTACCACCAACTGCCATGAGCGTTTGTCTTCTAGTAACCATACTTTTGTGAGGTAATTTAGGAACTATGAGGTAGGTAAGCAAAATTGCCAAACTATTTTATTTTAAATATTGTCAAGCTTGCTTAAATATATTCATATATTTATACATTGCTGTAGAAAAATAAGAGACCCATGCCAAAACAATAATAAATATGTGAGATCTTCTCAGACATAAAAGTAGATGCAGATGATAATCTAAAGAAAGCCAGTATTTTTCATGATTTAAAACAGAAGCAGTGAAAACATAAAAATCACAAAAACTAAGAATTGTTTCAAAAATCATATCAAACTTCTGAATGATGAGGAAGCTAATGACTTCATTGTTTTTCAGGGAAGGACATTCCACAAATGGTTAGCCAGTGCTGAGCAGGTCCCCACCCCAAATGCCATCCAGCTTGATTTCACCAGGTGAAGGGAACCCCCAGTTATTAAAATGTGAGTAGGTCATATAGGAGGAGAGATTTCTTTCAATGCTCTTGGCCCAAGCCATGTTCAGAATGAGATCTTGAATCAAGACAAAAGGCATATTCCAAGCAAATGGAAATATTTTATGATGGAGGTAATATCACCAGAATGATGGTACTAGTCACAGGTATCCGTGGAACATCAGATTCATTGAATCCAATGAATTTTCTCAGATGTCATCAAGAGTAGACCCACATATAATGCATGACAGTAATCTCATATAGATGCTACCAAAGCATGAGTAGCCATTGCAAGGCCTGGCTGGATTCAGACAACACAATAAGTCATGTTGGGGCAGGGAGATGTTTTTGGTTTTTTCTGTTGTTGGCCTGTCATGTTGTTTGAAGCCAGTCATATTATTTCATCATGATAAATTTGAACCTAAGAAACCATGATAAGAAACAATGGTTTGTTCTATGGTTCCTTTGTACCAGCATGGCCTGCAGTGTTGTCTGAACCTAGGATTGTGGTTTCTATGTTCCTGCTATGCAACTGCCACATAGTCCCCTGGAAAGAGTGGCAACTGTAGGAACAACTCCAGTTATCCAGTCTTTTTGAATGAACCAATGGGTAAGAGGTGGTATAGGCAGGGACTGATGTACACTGGGGCTGAATTTCAAGCACAGTGACTGATGGAATATGTGTTAATAGTGGGAGGACTAAGTAGGGAGGATGGAAACCATGATAAAGTAGAAACCACTTGATCATCTGTTGAGTAGATCATGGTAGAAAACCACGAACTGTGGTAAGCATGTAGCTTATTGTGTTGTGTCAATACGGCTGTTTCTCTTTGGGAGAGGATACAGCAGGTAAACCTCTGAAGCTAGTGTAAGGTGTTTTGTGCCTCAGCTACTATATGAGCATTCAAAGGAAAGAGTGTATTTAAGATTACCCTCAAAGAACATCCCAGTAAACAAGGGGAGTGCACACCCATCCCAACCACATCAACCATCAGCCTGCCCAATATTTGGATTAAGCTCACAACATCTCACCTAACAGTGCAACAAGACTTTCTTTGGGAAAAGGAAACTGGATGTTTAGAAAGAAATGAAAGATACAGTATCAGCTGTAATTGCTTTGCAAATTCCTATTATTGAGTTTGAGCCTCATCAAGTGGCAGCAGCCTTGAACAGTTGGCCAGAATCATTACTCCTCCTACATGGCTGATAGCTGTGAAACAGTTCCTGAGAGCAATCCACAGCTACAGTATCACTTTCCAGTGCCCAGTCCATTTCTGCCCCCAATTAATTGCAGAGCAAGAACTCCAGGGAATGGCTTAACAAAGATCACATCGATCCAAACTTGGCTTTTCTACAAACCTCAGAAGCAATCCCTTAAACCTATAAATCACACAAACACTGCATGAAAACCATTCCCTTGCCTCCTGAGTATATATGACCAGAATGTATAGATGGACTCAAATCTTTGTTCTCAAAATAGCAAGGAACAGAGCATAGACAAATGGCTTTGCAAAGCCGTGGCCTGTCACAGTGTGATCTATGAATATGTGGAAGGTGAAAATAGAAGAGAAATGATAGCTCAGTTGGGCTGCAATGTTTGTTTACCATTCAATCTCTCAGTGTATTTACTTTCCATTTGTCCAGAGGGAAAATTTGGGGGGTTAGGCAGAGGGGGAGAAAGCAGCTTTTTCCATGACGAACTCTGTCTATGGTATACCACCATGAGAGAGCTCCGGGAGTTTGGGTGCTGGTCGGGAGAAACTGCTCAGGTAAACTGCTTGCGCTTAAGGCAGCACGCACGGTGAGCCGAATCCTCCTCCCAGAAGATGAGTAGAAGCAGTGCTTTTTTTGTCATAGAATGCACGAGAATGGAGTTCCGGCACCTTTTTTTGATGGATTTTCCAAGTTTTAAACGTAACTTTTGAAAATTTGATGTTTGGTCCACATGAATTTGAATCACCCCGTCAAGTGTAGCAGATCAGCGGCAAAATCAATAAAACAGTGCATGCGGGCTGCTTGTGTGTCGAGTCCGATGCATGCGTACTTCGTCCGTGCTGGTTGTGATGGCGCTGCTCGGCTTGGGATCGGTCGTGTGGTCATGTGCTGAGTGCTTACTGCGGGCGGTGACCATTATGTTTCGTTACACAACTGATGTGTGTGGGTGTGTGTACAGTGATTGATTACATGCGAAAGGTAAATAATTTATTTTAAAAAAAAGTTGGTGAATTGAAAATCTTTTAGTGTAAAAGTACGACCCCAAATTAAAAAATGAAAAAAATTACTAATTACTTCTCAGCCACCGGTCCTGCTAAAAAAAAGGCCAGAATATTAACAGACACAATAACTGAACACATAGATACTAACAGCAGGGAAAGGAGTTGAGATTTGTCCGACGAGAATTGGACAAAACTTTGGAATTTACTCTGAACATTTGCCTTAAATACAATAAATTAAATTTATGTTAAGAAGTGAATATATATATATATTTTAAAAAGATTAACAAGATGTGAGTTCCGGCACCGTTTTTCTTACAAAAAAAAGCACCGAGTAGAAGCATCAAGCGCAGTTGCTACTTTGTCCTGCTGGCACGTGTGCAGTCTGACCCCTAGTGGGCCACGCACTGGGGAGGCTGCTGCTGTTCTCATGTGCCGTCAAGTCGTCTCCGGCTTAGGGGGACCCTGTGACTGAAATACAGCTTGCGGCGCTGCTCTCTGCTCCCCTGCCTGGCGCCTGCCTGGCCGGAGAGGAGCCCCTTCCACTCCTCGCACACAGAGGAGGGGTACGCTATTGGCTGACAAGGCGGAGTTCCCGGGCGCGTCATCCGCTGGTGCTCCGAGCGGCCAGTCTCCATTGGCTGCGGTGCCAGCGGCAGCTCCAAACGGTATTTGCATGCCTGGGGCTGGCTGGCAGGCAGGCGGCAGGCAGGCAGGATGGCTAGCTAGGACGGGAGCGAGGAGCCCTTTGTTGCCGAGCCCGTCAGGCTGAGGGAGCTCGCGCGTCCGTGCGCGCGCTCCTGCGCGCGCGCGCGCTCAATCGGAGGCGCTGCGCGCGCGCCCTCCCTCCCGCTCTGCCTCTTGTTGCGAGGAAGGTGGGGGGGAGAAAACTTTCCCAGCAGGTGCCGCGGATTTGCGGGCTCACCTCTGGGCAGAGCGCGAGCCTGCAAGCATCCCTGCCTCCCTCTCCTCCTCCTCCTCCTCCTCCTCCTGCCTGCACGAGACACGTCGCTGCCTTGGCCGCCGTCTTGTCTGCTCCGAACTGCCGCCGCCGCCGCCGAAGAGGAGCGCTTCCTCTTCGCCTCCCGCCCGCAGGATGGTGGACCTGGAGAGCGAGGTCCCTCCGCTTCCTCCCAGGTACAGATTCCGCGATTTGTTGCTGGGCGATCAGGGATGGCAGAACGATGACAGGTGAGTAGGCGAGGTGAGGCTCTTGTGCAAAGGCGGGGAGGGAGGGAGGGAGCGAGCGAGCGAGGTGAAGGGAGGCTGCTCTCTCGCCGGCGTTTCGTCGGGGAGCTGTTCCTAGAAAGGAGGGAGATGCAGTTCCTGCCAAGGAAGTGTACGCGTAACCTGCAAGCGGCTTTCGCACCTTCTCCCAGAGACCCATCTAGCGAGCTCTCGTGTAGACCTGGGCAAATTGAATGGACATGCACAGACTTCCACATTTCTTGCGCATGGGCATTATATTTTTTGCGTGACTACCTGTGGATTCGTTTTCCTGGGTTGTGATCCAGCGGTTCGATCATGGAGCAGCTAATACAATTCAGATTCTCATGCACCTGCCTCAGATATTTGCAGCCCAAGGCGCGTGCCACTTCAGTCCGTTTGCACCTGTTGCCCTTTTGGATGTGTGGTTCCTGCAGCCAGCTGTATTCAGGGTCGATGTACTTGCATGCATGCACGCACCAGCCTTATTTACCCATGTAAATGATGTGCGTGCGTGCATGGTGCATACACAAGCCCGAAGTGTGTCGGTGCTCTTGACTGCACACAATACACGGAGATACATCTCCCTTTTCCTGGCGTGTCTTTTCTGCCTCTCCACCATTGTGCATCTGAAGACAGACTGATCCCATCAGTCCTTTAATGCACTCTGGAGACTGTCTGCTTGTGATATATCCCTCAGGAATTGACCTAGGCTGACTTGCCTGTTTGGAGGAAAAGGTTAAGAGTCTCTTATCTGAAGCATAGCAACCTTACTCTGTGCTGCTACTGCTGGGTCATATACAGAAGTAATTTGTTTTTATGAGATAAAACACTGAAGTGCATTCAGATGTTCAGATTGTGATGCACTTCTAAACATTATGGTTTATTTTTTTCCACATGGAGCTGCTGGTGAATCATGGCATTACATTGAGAGAATTTATGGGAACTTCTAGCTTTGTTAGTAGAAATCTGAAAATTAAACAGCCCATTTCCAAGCTTCTCCACTGTTTTTCCATCCAATGATAGATTAAGTTTATATGTTTGCTTAGCTCCAGTAGTTGTGCGACATAAGGGTTCCTGGCCTTTTCCTGGACTGCTGAGACATTTGTGTTTGGAGTGTTTATGCTCTTGCTGATATGCATATATAGTTCATAAGAATGTATCTCCCTTGTGACTGGTCTTCTAAGGACAAATGTGTCTTTCACACTCACTCTGCTCTGCAGTTACTTGATGGATTTGGTGATTCTCCATTGACAGTCTTCTCTTTGACACCTCATGTATTAAGTGGATAGACTGGGAATGTTGTGTTGTGCTGAAATCTTTTCCCCATGAGGTTAGTTTGGGAAGTCATCATTTGGGGAGTAGTCATTATGAGTTCCTTAACTGGGTTCCCTGAAATCGACATATATTCCTCCTTTCTTGAATGGCAGATGATATAACCAAGTAATAAGAAAGGAGGTGGAGGGCCACCTTACTCTTCCAAACCCCCTCCAAATGCAGCGGTTTCAAAGTAAACTGGGTGTTCTATTACTAAGCTCTGTACTGACAGAACAGTCCTATATACGAGTATGTCTACTCAGAAGTGAGGCTGAGTGAGTTCCATACAGCTTACTTCCTTCCAGGCGTACATAATACTTTATCCTAAAGGGTACTTTCGAAGTCCAATGCTTCATTTAAATCTATATAGCTATTTAAGCAAGTCCAGTGTTTACCAGAATATTTCATCAAGGTTCAAGGTGGTAGAGTAACTTTTTCTAGGCCTTGCTTAATGTTGGGCTGCTGGCAAACCTGAGTGATTTAAGACTTCCTTCAACTTTTCAAAACATGCTGTTCATTTTGCATTGCTTATATATAAACAGAGGCTACTGAAAGTGAAATGCTAGACTGTTTGTTTTGTTCTCCGGCAGCTCATGAGCGTCTAACTACATGAAAAGAATGATATGGGCCTGCCACCATTTCTTTTTCTTTTTTCTTTTTGAATAAGTTTTATTCTTAATATATACCTAACAAAAAGAAACTAAGAAGCATCAGTCATTGAAAACATCAGACCTACTGGGTCAGCCCCCCACATTTCTTCTTTTCATGTTAAACTATAAACATGTTTAAGTCTATGCATAGTCCCGTTTCTCTAGCCAGTAATAAAAAGAATCCCAGGTTCAATAGAAGTCGGTATCTTCTTTCTCCCTCAGAGACAAAGTCAGTCTATCCATTTCCGCACAGTCCAAAATCTTTTTTAGAATCAGTTCATCGGAAGGTGGTTCTTCACTCTTCCAGTGTTGGACAAATGCAATCCTCGCCACAGTAGTTACATGCAGAGACAAATACATTGCTTGTTTACTAAGATCATCAGGTACAATGCCTAATAAGAAAACTTCAGGTTTAAATGTTAAAGGTTTTTGTAACATTTCCTCTAGCCATTTGTGTATTTTAATCCAATACTTTTTTGCTTTATCACAAGTCCACCACATATGATAAAACATACCCGATTTGTATTTGCATTTCCAACATCCATTTGACACATTTGGAAACATCTTAGCTAACCTATTTGGGGACAAATACCATCTATAAAACATTTTATACAAATTTTTTTTATATGAAGTTGCTAATGTTACTTTAATATTATTTTCCCACAGTTTTTGCCATTTCTCTAACTCAATATTATATCCAAAATTTTGTGCCCACGTTATCATAGTTTCTTTAACCTGTTCCTCTTCCATTATCCTTTCCAGTAGGAAATTGTACAATCTTTTAATCATTTTCTCATCAGATTTATGAATCACGTGATCAAATGCTGTTGACTCCTTATAAAAACCCCGCATTCTATGATCTTTGGCATATCTCAATTGCATTTGAACCTTGTGCCACCAAGAAATATTAATTCCTTGTTCTTGTATATGGACCTGCCACCATTCCATGTCTCCTCCTCTTCCTGGTTTCTTCTTCATTATGTCTTCATTCCTCCTCTCCAACCTCTTGTTCTCCAGATGTTTTGGAATATAATTCCCAGCTTTAGCCACACACCCTTTGTCTGATGAGAGTTACAGTCCAAAACAACTGGGGTGTTTCCTTGATGGGAAAGGCTCACCTAGTTGGACACATCTGGCTGACCTCTGCATGGCCAAGAATGCATAACATGATGAGACAGATCCACAGTTCCATTTGCCATACTTGTCACAGCAAGAGAGTGTGACGGGGCCCAGCCTTCCTTCCAGCTTTGGAGTTTAGAATGCAAGAGTAGCTCTGGAGCAGTGCAATCCCCTGCCTCCTTCTCTCCAGTGCCAACCCCATCACAAGGCAAGAGGGCAAGGAGTTGTCCTGGATAATGCTCATGCTTCTAGCACCTGTACCTCTTGAGCTGGCTATCTTGGACTTCCTAAATGTGTCAATTCCTCATGACACGATGGCATCACTGATTGTCTTCAGTTAGATACAGAGATGAAATCCCATGCTGTGCAATCAGGAGCCCCTTTCTCTTCACCCCTGCAGCTCTCCATATCTACCCTGGAGTGTTTTGGTGGGTTCCCAGTTCCACTGATAGCATTGTTGAAGTCAGCAGGACAACTCCATTTGGTAGAACGCATTATGAGGAAGGGAACAAGACCAGCATCTCTGTGTCACTTGAGTCCGTTCCCATTTCATAAGCGAGGAGGAGTATTGAAGAGATAAAAGCAAATGGTTTCCTATTAAACAGAAGAACCCATTCTAGGGGAAGCCAGCATGGTTGGAAAAAAATAACATAGCCTGGTAAAAAGAAAAAAAGAAGGGCTCTGACCACTGGGAATATAGCTCCTTTTCTTTACTGCTAGTTCTGTCCACCTTTAGAATAGCCCCTGAGACCCTTTCAAGATTTGAATTTGGTCCCTGGGCCAGACAGGGGCAAAACAGACCTGGCGAAGCAGCAGCAGTGTCTTTGTTGAGCTTGCATTTTATTGCACAAGGGAACAGGAGATAAATGAAGAGATAAAAATACATGGATTGCCACTGAACTCTTTCTAAGGGAGGCCAACATGCTTCTCCTACTTCTGTTTTATGATCAGTAAGCCACTTGAGTTGTAAAAAGGGCACAAGTGGTTTTGAGTGCATCATTAAAACTGAGTATTGGGAAATAAAACCTGAAAAAACCCACTGCTAATTTAAGGTGTTTTAATTGATGCTCATACTCTTTAAGTTGTTAATGATAGCAGTGCGTTTCCATGCAGTCTGTGCTGGATTTTGGCTGTTTTTCATCAAATAATGTTTCTACATAGTCACGCTTTCTGAAGATCTCTGATTTTCATATACTACTGTATTATAAGGATGCAGCACTTAATTTCTTAAAATTGCCCCTCTGCTATGTAAAAATAAAAAATGAAAATGAAAATTTGAGCTTTGTACAAACTATCCAAGGCCCTGAAATGAACGACCATCAAATGCTGTGACCTCTCTTTGTGGGGCACAACTGTGAGCCAGATTGCCAGTTAAGGTCATTAAATTGTGATTCTTCTGATTCCTCTTCTTAGCAATTTCACATGCCCATGAAAGGACAGCCTGAAATTAATGGCTGGTGCCCTGTATGCACCTGCCTACTCAATCTAATGCATTTTCCATTGCATGCTGTGTCATGAACTTAGGCATTTAGGAAGTCCTGGATCTAGGACACCACCTCCATTGGCCATCCTGGCTGAGGCTTATAGGAGCTTACTCCAAAACATCCAGAAGCTACCAGGGTACCTGTCCCTAGTGTAGGAGCATTTCATGTGCATCTGTGGCTGATTTGATAAATCTTTCTTGTTAAGAATAAAGTTTTTAATGCCTTCTAGTTATAAGGCACAGGAGCAAAATTTGCCAAACATGGGTTGTGCCCCATGGCTTACATTCATCTTCACAGATGCAGATTTCCTGCTAGCCTCCTTTCCCCGCAGCTGGCCATCCACCTTCCAGAACTGCTTTGGAAGACCCCTTCATACTTCATACTGCAGCAGATTTGGGGGTCGTGGCTACAAAAG